TGGCCGAGGAAAGAAAGTGAGAATGGGATCGGGCCTGAGGCGTGTTTACGCGGATCACGATCATGTAGGCCTGATGCGTGTTTACGCGGGCTGAGAAAAGTGATTGAGCACGAGATGGTGTGATGTGGCAAGTTAAATGAAAATGATGTGGTGGTGCGTGAACGAGTGTGAATTGTGGAGTTCGGAAATGTGGTGTGTTTGACATGTGCCTTCGAGCATGAGATTGGGTTGGAAAGTGCATGCGATTTGTAAATGTGAATGTAAGACTAACGTGCAGGTTGCGTGTATTGAAAACCAGGTAAGTACGATTGTGTGGACGTTGTTTGTGTGTTGCTTGATTCGGTGTCTGGACTTGTCTGGAATACGTGGTAGCCTAGGTAAGGTTTAGGTTGTGTACTTATTGAGAAGTGTCTCATGGTTGTATCAACCAAACCATTTCAAAGCACCCGCCCGAGCCATGAACCTTCCGTCGCCGCCGCCGCAGCGTTTTGGGATTGTTATGCACACTGATCATGATGTACTAGAATACCGGATCGAGATTGAGGCCGATTCGGAGTCATCGGATGAGCATGTGCCTGATGAAGATTCGGATGAGGATTCCGAAGAGAGTGAGTCAGAGTGGACGCCATCTAGAGGGCATAGGGATTAGTTTTGGAGCTGAGGGAGAGTTTGGAAGTGTTCCATTTTGGTGTAGTGCTTACCCAGGCTACTGATTTTTCTGTGATATCGGTGGTTTGCAGTTTGGTAGTTCAATGTGCATATTTTGCTTTGTGGTTTGTAAATGGCGGTTGTGGCATAAGTTGATATTGTAAATGGATATCGTACTTAAATCGAGGTATAGTATAAGATTTGGTGGTTTGGCAATTTATTCTCCCTAGTACCCCTGGTTAATCATTGTCTAGGTGTTTGTTGTTTCCGCCGCGATTAAACTCTGATGGGTTCGATTTGGGTCGGCGACGTTTCCTGGGACGTCGCACTAATTCGACCGAAGAGGGATGTTGCGTACTCGATGGGGGTTCTGGGCGTGACAGTTCAATTTGCGGATTTTTTGAAACCTACAAAACAAACATGTGTGCATGTATGCGTGATATGCATGATGTGAATAACCTACAATGGCTCGGATTGCATCGAAAATGGCTCTCGGGCCTTGGATTTCATTCAAGAAAAAGACTTTTTCACCGAATCGACATTTACAAGCTTTGGCAACTCTTGGCCATCTATTTCTACAAGAATTAAGGCACCTCCAGGTAACACCTTTCTAGCAACATATGGACCCTCATAATTAGGGGCAAACTTCTCACCTAATTCTAGTGTGAGGGACAACACTTTCCTTAGCACAAGATCTCCGGCTTCGAAATGCCAAGGCCGTACTTTGCGATTGAAGGACTTTGCAACTCGCTTTTGATAGCATTGACCATGGCATAAAGCCTTTAGTCTTTTCTCATCGATCATGTTCAACTGATGATATCTCTGTTGAATCTATTTTTCCTCAGAGAGCTCAACTTGTGAGAGAATCCTTAATGAAGGGATTTCAACCTCAACGGGCAAGACCGCTTCCATACCATAAACGAGCGAGAAAGGAGTCGCCCCTATTGAAGTGCGAATCGAAGTTTGGTATGCCATCAATGCATAAGGCAACCATTTATGCCAATCTCGATAATTGTCGGCAATCTTTGACAGGATCTTCTTTATGTTCTTATTAGCTGCCTCCATAGCTCCATTCATTTATGGGCGGTAAGGTGAGGATTAGAGATGACGAATATGAAATTCGTCGAGCAAGTCATCCATAACCATGTTGTTTAGATTTTACCAATTATTAGTAATGACTGCCTCTGGGACTCCATATCGAGCAATGATGTCACGACGAATAAACTTGGCTACATTCTTGGCAGTGACATTGGCATATGAATTCGCCTCGATCCACTTGGTGAAATAATCAATGGCCACCAAGATGAAGTGATGTCCATTGGAAGCCTTAGGATTAATTGACCCAATCATGTCGATCCCCCACATTGATAAGGGCCATGGCTCAAACATTTGACGCAATTCGTTCGGCGGTACGTTGATTTTATCTGCATAAATCTGGCACCAATGATAATAACGAACATGCCGGATACAGTTAGCCTCCATAGCCATCCAGAAGTAACCCAATCCCATGATTTTTCTAGCCAGATGATGACCGTTCATGTGCGGACCACATTCCCCTTCATATATTTCTCTTATCAACTAATTAGCTTCTTTAGCATCCACGTATTTCAACAAAATTGAGTCCAAAGACGTCTTATAAAGAGCATTGCCACTTATGAAGAATTTTGACGCTAGCTTCCTTATGTATTTCTAATATGCTAGTTCACTTTCATGAGGGTATTCACCCTTTTGAAGATAGTTCATGATATCATAATACCATGGCTTTTCATCAGATTCGTCTGCGATTGACGAACAGTAATCTGGACGCCTTAAAATTTCAATTTTCAGTGGCTCGATGTCTAATCGTTTCATAACTTGTAGCATTCATGACAATGTGGCCGGGGCATCGGCGAACTGATTCTGCGATCGGGGTAAATACTCAAAAGAAGTCTCCTCAGATTCCTTTATTAATTCCTCAAAGAATTCATGGTAAGGGATCAATTTGTAGTCACGGGTTCGCCATTGACCTTCTGTCTGAAGAATGATGAGGGCGGAATCACTGTAGACTTGCAGCTTCCTAACTTTCGTGTCGACGGCCAATTGCAATCCAAGTATGCAAGCCTCGTATTCTGAGATATTGTTGGTATAAGGGAATACCAATTTGGCGGCCACAGGGTGGTGTTGACCCATTGGGGATATAAGAACTACCCCAGTCCCAAAACTAGCTAGGTTAACGGCACCGTCGAAGTACATAGTCCACTTATCACTCACTATTTATGAAATGCGCTCCTTTATGGGATCTGACTGATCATGGTTTTCCAACCTTTCGAAGTTTTCTGCTAACATGTCAACTATGGCTCTTCCCTTGACCGATTTTTGCGCCATGCTATGGACATCGAATTTGGACATCAGAACTTGCCACTTTGCTAACTTTCCGACCAATGCGACTTTTTTTCAGCAAGTGTTTGATGGGATCATTCTTAGTTACAAGCAGAATCCGATGATGAAGTGTGTATTGACGTAAGCGATACAATACCCACACCAAAGCCACATACGTTTTCTCAACTCTGGGGTAATTCATTTCGGAGGAAGTAAAATTCTTACTAAGATAATATATCGCACATTCTTTGTCATCACCTGGTCTCTTCTAAGCTAGCAAGGCTCTCAACGACTCATCATGAATAGTCAGATAGAGTATTAATGGCACTCTAAGAACAAGTGGCACCAAAACCGGCAGATGGAAAAGATATTATTTTATTTCCTCAAAGGCCTTTTGACAATCGGCGTCCCACTCAACTTTGGCGTTCTTCTTCAAGAGCTTGAAAATTGGTTTAGCCGTCTCAGACAATTGAGAAATGAATCTAGCCACATAGTTCAGTTTTCCTAGCAAACTCCGAACCTCTTTGACAGTTGAAAGAGGTTTCAAATCACAAATGGCCTTAACCTTTGACGGGTCAATTTCAATGCCTCGACTACTGACCATAAACCCCAATAGTTTCCCAGACTTTGCCCCAAGCACACATTTGGCGGGGTTAAGTCTCAACTTGAACTTTCGGAGTCAATCAAACAATTTCTGCAATACCTCAATGTGATCCTCTCCATGTTTGAATTTAACAATCATGTCGTCTACGTAGACCTCCACTTTCTTATGCATCATGTCGTGGAACAGAGTGACTATTGCTCTTTGGTACGTTGCCCCGGCGTTTTTCAAGTCAAAAAGCATTACCTTGTAACAAAAGGTCCCCCATGGGGTAATGAAAGAGATCTTGCTTTTATCTTCTTCTTTAATCCGAATTTGATTGTAACGAGCAAATTCATCCATAAAGGAGAATATCTCAAACCCCGCGATACTGTCGACCAACACATCAATGTGAGGCAGCGGGAAGTCATCTTTTGGACTTGCTCGATTCAAATCGCAATAGTCAATACAAACCCTGACTCGTCCATCTTTCTTCATGACAGGGATGACATTGGTGATCCAATCATAATAGTGTGACACTTCTATAAAGCCCACTTTTAACAACTTCATGACTTCTTATTCGATTTTCTTGGAAAATTCGGGCTTTGTTCTTTTGAGCCTTTGTTTCTTAGCCGGGATACTCGGATCAGTCGGGAGAGCAAGCTCTACAATTTCCCTATCTAACCCTGACATATCCACATATGACCATGCAAACATGTATTGGTATTCTTTCAAAAGCTCGACAATCCTTTTAGTCTTGATTTTGGAAAGGCCAGCTTCAATCTTAATTTCTCTAACAATCTCCGAATCACCCAAATTTATTGTGACTGTAAGCTCTGTGGTCAACAGTTTAGACTCTTCATGACGAATCCAATCTCGTTCGATGTTTCTCTGATCACAGTCATCCTTGTCATCATTGGACCTGGAGGAATTTCTGTCGAGCAAATCCGACTCACATATGCGCACCTATCATGATTATGTGGAATGTTATACCTGAGATACCACGAAGAAGGTTAGTAAGTAAACGGGCAAATGTTATTGCAACTGATGATATGCATCTATTTTGAAATCATTTTGAAAGAGTTTTCAACATAGAAAATGAGGGATCTGTCCTCATATCCTTAGACGTCCCTATCCACAAAGAATTTTGGAAACTAAGAAGCGTGTGGAAGTCCAGGCCTCAAAGCATCATCATCAAACTGGTTTGGATACTTCCACATATCCTTAATAAAAACATGATCATGATTCTATTAACGTAATAAGGCCGTTTACATAACTCGAGGTCTTGGACTGACGGCTCGCAGTCCAAGATTTTGATTACAAAGGAAAGTAGCAGCCAGACCTAAATAGACTTCTCATGCAAGGGATAAACATAGAATCAAACAAGACGAAACAGGAAAGAAAAGCAGCATTCCTACTCGTAAGGGTTGGCAGTAGCAGCAGAGGGCTCAGTCTCCTCACTTCCCATGATAGCACAAGCAAATTCTCCCTTGAATAAATCAACTAGGCCAAGAATGGCCCCCTCCTCTTCCTGCAACAACTTGGGTGGAACTAGGAAGATCTCTTTCAACTCCGGAAAAAGTAAGCCCTTCTGACCTTCCTCTAATCCAAATAGACTTCCACGACCTCCGCAACCTCCATGATTAGCTAGGCCTCCATAGTCACCACGACCTTCATTGCCTCTACGGCCACCATAATTAGCTTGGCCTCCACTGCCACCACGGCCTCCATGATTACCTCGACCTCCGAAATCGCCTCGTCCTCCATGACCTCGGCCGCCAGAATTGCCTCCATGATAACCTAGGCCTGCCCTTTTGCACCACTTGGAAACCTGAATAGGTTCTTTGATACATTGGCCATGCAGTCCCAAGTCGGCTATGGGGATATGACCATTTTCGAGTAATACCTTACTCGACATCATCGAAGGCTTAGCCATTTCTAGGTTTCGCATAATAGTTCCAACAAACAAATGGACCATCGAGACTAACTCCAAAGTCTTATTGCTTGATTCAGCCTTGTTTTCGGGCTCTATGTACGAAATTGCATTGTCGTGAAAAATCTTGAAGTCGGTTTCTCCATGAACAATTACCAGCTTTCCATCCACGATGAACTTGACCTTCTAATGTAAGCTCGAGGACACGGCTCCAGCGGTGTGTATCTAAGGTCATCCTAATAAATAATTGAAGGCACTAGGAATATCCAAAACTTAGAAGTTGACCAGAAAGAGGATTGGACCAATCAAAAGTTCAAGCTTGACTTCGCCAATAACTTCCTTCTTCATACCGTCGAAAGCACGAACGGTAGATTTAGATGCCAAAATATTGTCTTCATTCACTCCCAAACGGCGAAGGGTGGCGAGTGACCAAATGTTTAATGCAGACCCATTATCAATTAGCACTCTCGCCACCATCTTATCACGACACTTAACCGAAATAAGTAGCGCCTTAGTATGATTGCGAAGTTCCAGAGGAAAATCTTCATCTGCAAAAGAAATATGATATTTCAACAAGATTGACCCAATAAACTCCTCCAATTGGGTGTCATTGATAGTTTCGAGAATGTGCACTTCATTTAGAACCTTGAGCAGTGCATTTTTGTGTTTTTCAGAGGATTTGAAAAGACCCATAAGTGATATATGGGCCGGCATCTTCCTCAACTGATTGACAACATCAAACTTGCTAGTCTTAACAATTGCTAAAAACTGCTCGGCCTCTTCATTTGAAACAGCCATTTTCTCAACCACCTTGGTGGGATCATAACATTGACCAGAGCAAGTGACATCATCGATTTTATTCACCTTGTAGCTCCAAGGGACCACCTTAGTATCGTAACTAGGGGCCATCTCTACTATTATGTCTTCCTTGTCCTTGGACAGGAGTTCAATCACCATCGGTTCCATGGCATAATCCTCGATTTCTAGAGTAGCAAACTCTTCGGACGTAAGGTCAATGACTACATGCTCAACATCTTGTTCATCGGGGTCCGATAGATCTTCTTCGACCGACAGGTCAATGACCACAGGGGTGATCATGTTGACTATCTCCTCCTTGGGCTCAAGTGGGTCGTCCATACCTCCCTGTCCATCAGGAACAACATCTTTGGGATCGATGAAGAAACTCGATGGGGGTGAATACTTTACAAAATAGTCGAATTTGTCACTAGGTTGACCTAGTGTGTCGACCACTTCCCTATTCTCGCGGGCGATTTTCATGAATTCATGGTTCCAATCAACATTGCTAGCTTGAGGCTCGTATTCATCATATGAATTGTCTCCTTCATTGTCGGTCACAATTAGATTCTCTGACGCGCCATCATTAGTCAGTTCATTAGTCTGTGTAAGCTTAATAGGTGTCTCCTCCGACCCCTTCTTGATCTCACACAATGAGTCTATAATAGCTATCAGGGTCATCGTAACACCCTCCTTCATATTATAGATTATGCCCATGTCTACCATCCGAGTGATACATTTCAACTTATCTTCCGTCGGAATATCCTCCCCATCTTCAAATTGTCCAGCTGACACTAGTAGCTTATACAGTTTATGAACATCCACCTTAAAGGTTTGATTAGTCTCGTTACCCTTCTCCGTAACCACGTTGACATTCTCAGCATAATTAGGTAACGGATTTTGTTGGATATTAGGGGGTGGATCCTTGAAAGATAAAATGCCTTTATCGAGTAAATTCTGAACTTTGTTCTTGAGAGTGAAGAAGTTATCTACATCATGACCCTTCTCGCCTCTATGGAACTCGTAGGACTTCGACAAGTCGAACCTGGGAAATTTTGGAGGATTACCCTGAGGTACATCTTTGGCTATCATTCCCCTTCTCAACAGCATGGGTAACAACTTGGATAGAGGCCTAGGCAGGGGAGTGAATTGCCTCAATGCCTTTTTTTTGAATTCATAACTCTGATATGCCCTCTCTCAGAACACAGACGGGACTTGAGAGGATGAGGCAGGGGGCCTTGTCACAAGCGGCGCTTGTATATATGTGATCTCCACATCCTTTTCTTTTCTATTCGGTATCTTCCGACTAGTCCCTTCGTTCAATCTACCATCACGCATGGCTCCCTCTACCCTTTCTCCGACATCTACCAACTGAGAGAAGGTTAGGCATCCAGAACCCACCAACTTCAAATAGAAATTATTAGGTAAGGCCTTGAGAAAGAGATCCAATAGCTCCTTTTCATCGAGTGGAAGACGAACTTGATCGGCGAGAGTATGCCATCTTTGAGCAAAAGCTCTGAAGGACTCACTTCTTTTCTTTTCAGTTCGAGTCAATACTTCACGTGTTAGAGCTATCTCAATGTTGTATTTGTATTGCAGGACGAACGCTTCGGCCAACTCCTCCCACTTCTCAAACTTCTCGGGCTCCGACAAGACATACCATTGCAAAGCAGGCCTCGTCAAACTCTCTTGAAGAGTCTGAATCATTAATGGGACATTCTGGGCATATCTCGCCATTCGATTCAAATAGTACTTTAAGTGGATCTTTGGGTCTCCGGTCCCATCATACTTAGTAAAGTCGAGAATCTTGAACTTCTCAGGAAAGCTCATTTGTGTATATCGAGACAGATCCTCGATCATGTGCTCTTCATATCCTCGTAGCGCACGGAGTTTCTCTTCTATCTTTGTGAACCTCTTGTTACGCTCTTCCTCCAAACGGGCCGTGACGGCTTCCGAAATGGGGTCTAGTTTGACCATTACGGGTGTAGAACCCAATGCCTCCTCAGCAACATTCCTTCTCGCAGGCCCTTCTACGGGCTTAGAGGCAGCTTGAGGTGTGACTTGACTAGCATTTGGTGCTGCCAACGTGGCCCTGATATCATTGGTGAACTGAGTGAGCCGAGTCACAAGATCATTGATCTTGTTGTCGAGAGCGGTGAAACTGGTGTTTTGCTCCTCAATATTCATTCGTGCGGCCCTTGATCATGTACGAATAGACGATTGCCTTGAAGTCGTAACTTTGGCTTAGCGAAGAAAGGGGGTGTTGGGAGTCGTCAGACTCGGCTTGGACACAGTGATCGCCAGAAGGTCTCTCTCTTCGGCCTCTTGGTTTCTCGATTCCTCTCTTCGCGTGTTGAATACAGACGATTTGTGATCACCCGAATCATAAATAAGCGAGCATACATAAGTGCATGAATTATATAGAAGACGGGTCCATGACAATGGTCTAGCCGCTTTCATTCATTCATTAAATAGTTCTTAGTTGAATAACACTCCTAAACTCGAAAAGCGAACTAGAAATTGAAAACTCAAAGATCCTAAACATCAAGCTAATAAAGAAAATAAAATAAAAGAAAAGAAACGAAAATAAAATAAAAACCTAAGACAAATGAATTAGGAAAGGAGCTACTAGATCCAAAACGACAAACTCGATCCATTTTACTCCTCTTGATCTATATGCGAATGGGAAGCCAATGCTCGATGCAATTGCCTATTCTCCTTAGCAACATGCTTTAGACTTCCTTCAGCTTTCTCCGCTCTCCTCTTGAGATAGTTGATTTCCGCTTGGCGAGTTGGCTTCTTTGTCACATCCAAGATCTTTGGGAGAAACTCGGTCAGGATCTTATGCCGACGGATGTATCGGGTTGTGGCATAGTATGTCTTTTCCTTCTCCTCAAGCTCGTCTTTGGGCCAATTTAGCTTTTGGGCACGACAGGCGAGCTAGGCTTGTTCAACATGGTGAAGCTCTCATTTGTAATCCTCTTCCTTTCTAACAAATCGGACTTGGAACGAATCCAGCTTGAGAGGGGGCGGTAGATCTTGGACAACCCGATATTGGTGGGCCACTCGGAGTGGGTACTAGGAGGTGGTGCCAGTAACTCCAAGCAACGGGATCGGTTCATTATCGCCATGAGAGAGACGTGCCTCGCGATGTCGGAACCACTTAGTTTGCCATAGGAAAATCTTGGTTTTTGGATTCTTCAACAAATTTACCCATTCTGAGAAAGAAAGATTCGGGGTTTGATCTTGATGATTCTTAAATGCCTCAGTAGGGTGATTAGTCTCATTAATGTCACGGATGTTCATGTGAATACCAAACCTATTTATATGGGAAAAAAACCAGATTTGTAAAAGTTCCACAGGAGCACGGAAAACCTTTTCTTCGTTTTCTTTAAATCGGGTGAGTGATAAAAATGTTTCAGCCAAGATAGTGTTAACAAAGCTAACTCCACCACATATTTGTCTGACCACCTATGCAATAGATGGATCAATAGCATTCTTACGAAAGGGAAAGACTATGAACCCAAAGAAAGCTAGAAGAAAGATCTTACCTTTTAAAAGGGTCTCGGCATTCGCAAAACACTGACCTAAGAAAGAGAGTGGGCATACATGACAATTATCGTTTAGCACTGTTCTTATCCACCCTAAGAAAGTTAGACAAAATCGATTCCGGCTCTAACTCGAGGGGTGGATTGATTAACTCTAAATCCAAAGGTTTTCCTATGGCAACGCTATATTCTTCCAAAGTTGGAGTCAACTCATGCTTATCAAATATGAACATGGATGTTTGGGGGCACCAGAAATGAGCTATTGCTTGCATGACTCCGCTTAAGATGTCGATGTCGAGGAGGGGCAAAAGGTGACCAAGTCTATTCTCCACATAGGCTCGGCCTTCACGATCCAATTGGTCCCACCATTGCTTGAGTTCGGCCTTCGGAGTAGGAATGAATCGAATGTCGGATTTTCCCATTGCATATAGACCAAGACTCGACCAGCCTAATTGTCACGGACCAGCCAAAGCATAAAAAGGAAAGTAAGTTGCAAAAGTAAAGGGTAGGGAACTTACTTCACTAAACAATCATGACAAACACATAGACATGCACATGAAGCGTGCTGCTCGACTTCTACCCTAGGTGGCTCAACAAAGTGGAGTTACGAGGGTGGGATGACTAGTCGCGGCCTCGCACACTAAGCCAAGTCATCATGACCCCGGCTCAGTCAAGAATGATACCCCAATGCGACGCGGCCTTACAGTCAAGGGTAAGCATTCTTGACACCAGAATGAAGAAGATTGCGTTAAAAGTCCACTTGCAGTTTTTGATACACTGCTGTTTGCGATAATGTGAAGGAAGAATGTTTTCGATTTCAACGGTTAAAACATGATCGATAGGGAAACATAATTCTGATACAAGTGATCTGTCTTTGAAGGGTGTATGATTCATTTTCTTGTCGTGGCTTGATTTACATGTTGACAATTCATGTGTGCCCGCCGTAGGAGGGGGTGCACCGCATTTACCCCAAACTCCATGTTGGAGATCAGGGAACAAAAAGTCCGTCGGCATTGTCCGGTACAAGTATTCTCCCTTTCTCCCGTTTGTTTCTTGTTGGAACAGAAGACGGCTATCTGAGAATATGTTGTTAAGTTTTCGCTTCTCTTTTGTAAATTCAAATGCGAGTTCTTTCGAATGATCCTCTCCTCCATTTTCCGTTTACCTTCTTCACTCCTTCCTTTCTTAGGCACTAAGTTATATCTCAGAAATGACAGTAGTTTACGAGACACATGGAAATGGCCAATCCCCCCGGGGTCTTGTATGCCGACACTTCGGTATCTCACATGAATAAGTGAAATTGCTCGATCCATCAGCAACGCTTCATCATTAGACACCGTGACCTAATATGTTCAATCCTCATATTCATGTCCTAGGTACTCGTAGTGTTTTTTAAACCTTGCGAGGAAAATATTATCTATGCAGTTTTCATGTTCGGTTTGAACAAAAACCGGCCACTGTAAATACCACTTAACCACCAAGTTTCGTAAACAGTATGATTAATCCATAGTTGAGTTGATTCTATATGTTACCTTTGTCAATAAGAATTTTTCAAGACTAAACATATGTATTAGAGAGTAGGCGAGATGTAAACAGTATTCTTCTTCTGCTTAATTAAATTTCAATATTTAATCCGGAACTTTAAATATCTCTTCCCTCTATGGATATTGAGAAAATTCGGACTAATACTTGTGAGAATCCCATTTCAAGACCATTAGGCTCATTTTCTGGGAAAATCTTATTTACAAGATATGCTTGGCCAAAGTTCGGTCAATATGATATTTATTGGAGGAAAGTACTGTTTGCATGACATGTAGCAGACTTACTATAGGATATTGCATTACACTGTGTAGAAGAGTTCAGCTCCAAACTCAATCGGATGTGCAAGGTACGAATGTTTCACACAAAACATGTCGGGAAAGCAACTTTCATGGAGAAACTAATTTTGCAGAATTAAGATGAAAAACAAAGGAATGTCAAAGCGTGTAGTAAAGCAAAATTAGGAACCGAAGACAAGACCTGCTGGTCCTAGGACCGGAAACATGTCACTTAGGATTTAATTCACATTTTACTAATTTTTGTCAATGAATTTATGTCAATGAAGTTCACTTAGGATTTAATTCACATTTTACTAATTTTTTTTGAAGAAATAAAAAAATAAAAAAAAGTATGTGTAGTTGGTCTGGTCTGGTTCCTCATTGGAACCGGGAACTGGACTGCTCGGACACCTAACTAGTTTTAGAAACCGGGAACCGGACCGACTCTCCCGGGAACCGAACCAAACTAGCAAGTTCCCGATTTGAGTGTTCCGTCTCACACACCCCTAGTGACTGCGTAAGACCGCGAGATTCACAATTTTCGCCATGTCTCTTGATCTTGATCGAATCACCACCAACTTTGAGTCTCTCATGACACAATCCTTTCGGCGAGGACTCACTCTCAATCGTGAATATAATCACATAGCAAAAAACATTGTGTTTCCGTGATTGAGATGAGCAACGGAAACTTGATACTTTCACTGGAAGAGATACCTAGAAGGAAGCTCAGGTCTTAGGGCCCATTTGGTTCAACTTTGCAAATGAGCCTTGGGGAATGCAAATACTTTTTTGTCAAAGTTCTTTGGGGAAATGCAAATGGTGTTCTGTAAAAAATCTTTTGTAAGTTACTTTGGCTCAAGTTGTGTTTGGTAAATTCTTTTTGCAAAAGGGCTTTGGGATTTTCCTTTTTATTAAAAAGAAAAAAGTTTACCCTTTGCTGAAGTTGACGAAGGGCTATGGCCGTCGGCGAGCCAGATTTGGCGCCAGCGGCTGTCGCTAGAGGTCGGGCGACCCCCAGTGAGGGTCGCGCAACCCAAGCGGCAATTGCCTAAGGTCGCTCGACCCAGGCGGACATCACCTGGGCAGTCGCGTGACCTCGTCGGCCTGTCACTAGTCCTTCGCCGTCTCGATCTGGTGTCGCCAGCTACCCTCGCGTAAAGAAGATGAACAGTAACTACGAGAGGCAAAACCAGAATATTAAAGAATAAGCGATGGTAGTTTGGGAAGAAAAAAATTGGTTTTAGCATTTGCCAAATATTGAAAGCCCAAAGCTGGTCCGGACTAGCTTTGAGCTTTGAGCATTCTCAATGCTGGCTTTCGAATGCTTGCCAAACGCCCCAGCATTTTCCCAAGGGGCTTTCGAGAGAATGCGAAACCAAATGAGGCCTTAGTTATCTAGTTGGATCCACTTTTAGTTATCCAGTTGAACCAACTTTCACTCAAAAGCTTAAACTAATAAACTGCGAGCCAATTATGATATATTAATTGTCTCATCTTAAACTACATCTCCAATGCGAGACTTCTCTTGCCAAACACTCGCGCGCGTGGGAACCTCAACATCAAGGACCAAAGTACCCTTTCAACTTGAGAACCATTGAAGAACCCTAATTTGGAAGTTAGGATTTTCTCTCTGGATTAGAGAGAGTAGTTGTGGAGAGCTACGGGGGCAATTGCGCATCTTGCATTCACTTATACACTAAGGGTGCATTTGTTTGAGAGAGTATTTTTCAGGAATCCGTTTTCCGGACTTTCACCCATTTGGTCTGCCAAAAATTATAAGTCAAATGAAGACACTAACCGGTTAAGGAAAACATTCATGTAT